GCCAAAGTTACAAATCTTACTCACTTTTTGCAACTCTCTAGCTAATTTTTTGAATTGAATTTTTTCTCACATAATATAACTAGATAACAGTTAGTATTGATATGGCTACTAAAATGGCTACCTCAAAGACTCAAAAACCTAAAGCTAATAACTTTATGTTGGTATTAAAGCAGTTCCTAGAAAAGCATAATCTGTCAGCTGATTTTACTCCAGAACAATTGAGCGAATATGCTCCTAAACTAGATGCTTTACTTTCAGATTGGATAGCCCGTAGATGTGTTAAGGTAGCTCTTGCTAAACCTAAATATTCATTTAGTAAAGAGAAAATAGAGGTTCTTCTACCAGATAAGAGAAAGAAAAACCTCACTATAGAAGGAAGGGTGGAATATTGTGCTAAGGCTGGTAATTTTGTAGATATTATTGCTAATCATTGAGCAGTGGATCTGAAAAAATAAAGATGAAAAGGAGATCATTGCTGGTATCTCGTATCAGTCAACATTCTGTGTAAAGTCAGCAGAAGGTGGTGTAAATCCTGCAATTATTGAAGGATTTGCCAAAGACAAGGATCTTATCCAAGATTCTAATAAAATTCAGAAAGAACGAACTAAAAAGCGAATAGCTAATCTGAACAGAATTTCTATATATTTCTTCTTAACAAATATGAGTAAAAGGATTTAGAATATGGATATTTCTAAAATTCTTATTAGAGAGAATCTCGCAGATGTGATAGTGATGTTAAGTATGAGACCTGCGGAAGTAAGATCTCTCCAGATCAATTACTATAAACTGGACTCTTCGAACATTCTATCATAGTATAAAGAGGCTATTCTTAGTACTGTACAGGCTATTTAAAGAGTAGAGGAGAAAAGAAGAAGAATCCAAAACGTGATAGAAAATTACTCATCTGGATTCAAGATGCAATTAAGGCTAAAAAGTTATCTGATCCTATCTTTACTGAAAGTGGAACACGTAATGCTTGGCCATTTAACGAATTCTTAAAGCAAAAGCCTTATAGAACTATACCTAAAAAATTAAAAGATTATGGAAGTAAACACGCTTTCAGAATTCATAGTGGTAAGAACCTAACTCCCTAGCATCTTAAACTGCTTTCAAAAATCGCATTAAGACAAGAATCTGACTACTTTAATGCAGGTGATAATTATGCTATAGGAAATACAGAATCAGAGAACTCCAGACCTGAAGATGAGCATAACTTAGATCTGAAATCAGAGTCTACATAAAATGATGAAATATCTGATATTATCAATATGTATAGCTACTAGCAATGCGCCTTTGGCAAATTTTGCTAGATTCATCATTTTGGAGCAGTGATCACTAGCTCAGAGATTTTTGCATGTATTAATAAAAATTTTTTCTCAGTAAAAGTTGCTGACTAATGTTCAGGATGTCACATGAATTTTTCAATTTTGAATACTAACATACCAGAGCATAAATAATATTATATTTAACAGGCATGCAATCTGAAATAGATTTATTGAGGCAACATTTCACTGAATTTGAGGCTAAGTACATTAAGATTTAGGTGAAAAAAGTTGAGTTTGAGACCCAAAATACTAAGATTTCTGAACTTAGAAAAAAGGTTGCTGAAATCGAGGCTGAGAATGTGAAATTGAGATATATTATTGAGAAGATTGCTAGACATGATACTGAGAATGCTGAGCATAAGACCAGAATCGAGGAATTGGAAAAAAATAGTGTAGATACTTCAGCTGAGAATGCTGAACTTAAGGCTAGAGTTGCGAAATTGGAACAAGAGTCCAGACAGCCACAGAATGATTTCTCTCCCAAGAAATATATCGACATAATAGAGTCTGTAATGGTCTATTCACGTGAACAAATAATATAGTACCAGAAGTGCAGATTTGCATAGCAAACATCCCTATACCTGCTAACTCTAAGCCATCAGAGGATAGAAAGACAGATGTTTTCTTGGATGAGGTAAACAAGAAAAATGTTAGTGATAGTATAAGGCAGAGGAATAGGGAGAAGAAGCTTTGCACAGCATCTTTTGGCCAGTATGAGTCATCTAAAAATCAAGCCTAAGACTTATCTAAAGTGAACATCTCTTCAGCATCTAAAGTTGCACTAGAAATTGTAACCTCTATAACCTTTGATCAGACTAGATCGCAAGATGCTGATTCTTTGTCTCCTTTTAGCTCTCCAGAAAATAATCATATTTCATACAGTTCATCTCAGAAAAACGCTTCTCTACCTGTTATCCGAAAAGTATCATACAATCAAAAAGTTGAGCAAGATATAATTCAGGAAGTTATTTTATTTATTCAAAAAGAAGCACTTGCCTCATCAATTAATACTTCCAATTTCAATATTGTAGTAGCTGATGGGAAAGGTTGAGATTTGGCTCAATTATTTTCTGATGCTGAAGACGCAGAAGGTAAAATGATAAAAGCTAAATAAAAAGAAAATGTATGCTGATATGCTTATAGAGAATTATATGAAAATAAGGTTGCAGAAATTTGTTCTAAAACTGGTATAGCCGAAAAAATTGCAAAGTCTCAAGTTTATATTATGATTAAAGCTTCTCTACCCAAAGTTTCGGATTTAAATCTATATAAGAAGACCCAAAGAGCTGAGAGTGTTTATAAGCTGTTTGGAAAAATTATTGATCCTATAACTAAGAAAGAAGTCAAGGGAATAGGTATTGACAAAGCTTATGGAATTTCATATGGCGTAAGAAGTATATTGAAATTAACTGATTCTCAAATCTTAAATATTATAGATCAGGTAATGAATAAAATACGTGATATCCTGACCACTGGTCAGAAATAAAATCATGTGACCAAAAAATCTGAGACTAGCAAAAAAATCTTGCCTGAAGAAAATTCATCCTTATCAGCCGATTTGGAGAATTATATAAAAATGCTTACAGGAAGTCTTGAAGATGAGATTGCTTATTGGGGTACACCATACGAGAACTCAGCTAGGGTAGTAGAAGAGAAAGCAAATGAAGTTAAGAAGCTTCCCAGGGTCCAGTCAAATGATGATGTATATTTTAATGAGAAAGTCAATCATAATTCTGCACTGTTTCCCTCTGAGAAACAAGAAACGAATGATGATAATGACTGTAGTCATGACAACGATTCTGAAGAAGAGATGCCAGATGAATCAGACGATGATAGGTATAATAGATACAGTAGATATGATGAATATGGTGGTCACGATAGAGGTTATTATTATCATAACAGAAGATACGAAAGAAAAATCTCACTAATGATGAGTCCTATTATATCTCCGGTATCTGACTAGGAGAATTATTAGATAGATTGTAGACTGAATTATTGTATCTGTTTTTTTGAATCACGTAGGTGGCTTAGATGGTCATGTGGATCGATCACCTGGCTGAAAGCGCTAAGACAAAATGCGTAAAAGATATTCTTGCTGAAAGAATAGGGTTGTGCAATGTAAGATTCACATATATTAGTTTTTTTATTCTGATAGATGATTCTGGAATAGACTAATTTTTTCCAGAATGTAATCTCATTTTCAAAATGTTAAAGCGAGGCCTTAGAAAAGGAAGGTAAGTATCATATTCTTATTATATTACAAGTTTGAGACCGGAGGAAGATTCATCTAACTATGTATTTCCTTGTATTATAAAAGAAAAATTCTTTTCGAGAATAGTTTCTCGACATAAGATGATAGATGAATTTCTCTCGATCATCATAGGGTAGTGGAACATGTGAGGCAGGAGCGAAAAAGATTTCAGAATGTGTTGATATTTCAGAACTAGATCCCTGTTTATTATGCAACCAAGAGCTTTTATTATACAAAATAAATAGTCATTCACCATACTCACCTGACATATATATCACCACAATTGTATCGAAAGTTCTATAACGATTTTTTTTTGCTATTTCTGATTCTGATTTTTTGTGATACTGATGATTCCAAATCTGCAGGTATATCTTCACTAAAGCTGAAGCAACCAGGATTCCAAGACTTCGGACAGGAAGAGGTAAGTTTTTAGTTGAACCCACTTAAATTAAATGAAAAGCTCAAGCCCTTTACATATATTATATCCATCACATTCATCATCAATCCCATCAGCTGAATGATCGAGCATTTCCTACAAAAATAAAAACAAGGTATGTCCTACTATTGCTTGATTTAATTTTGAAAAATAGCATCGATGCTTCACATATAATACTTATCATTTTTTCTGGTATTTTATATATACTAATCTTGATCCTTGATATTCGCCGAGAAATATGATTCTGAATCTGATTCAACTAGGAGCATTCCACTCCCAGATTCAAATTGCAAGAAAAGCTTAAATAATCTTCATTTTAATAGGATCATTCAGATCGTAATTCGAATATTTGTAGCAAAACCTAGGTGTAGTGATGGAGTCAATAAAGGACAGGGTATCATTCAAGCAAAGTAAAATTATTTCTGAATTTTAGCCCTGCATTGTTTTTCACCCTTAAGGTATAGCCATATCACACGAAAATAAAAAAAATGTATTTAGTTTTAAGCTACTAGCATAGAAATGTCATCATGTACCTACTTTTCTTCCTGAAATTTTTTATTTCAATATTTTGCAAATAAAAGAATTTTAACACTGCATATGATCTCTTAACCAGTAATGACTTATCCCTATATGTTACATTCTGCTGATCATTCGAGAGCAATACACTAATGCAGGTTATTTTTTAAAAATTAGGATCAACAAATTATTGAATATTAAGATTTTCATGTTTTGTGACGATCGTAGCATTAACTGCAAAGAATTAATTTTATAAAAATACTGAATATGGCGATGGTGTCTCGTATATGTTTTGTGTTAGATCATGTCTTTAAACAGTCTTAAGAATCTTACTTATAACATCTTAAAAATTTCGAGAATGAATCAGTTAGAGACATAGAAGTTCC